CATGAAAGCGCACCGCGGCTTCCCGGAGCGCCCGCGTCGCCTGCGCCAAAGCCGCGCCCCCGCCCGCAGCCACGCGCTGGAGCGGGGCACATAAAGGAAATGGCAAGGACGTGAGTCACCCGGACGCTCCGCAGCCCCGGCTGCCGGCCCACAAGGAGACCTTTGTGCCATGCTCGGAGGACGACCGGCACCCGCTGCAGGGAGGCAGGCATTTCAGGACGCTGAGTAATGCTGGGGAGACTGGAGGAGGGAGCAGACTTTTGTGTCCCGCCACTCCGCAAAGCCTGCACTCTGCGCACCCTGTGCGCAGGCTCAGAGAAGCTAGTGTCCCCCCAGCCTCATCTTTTATTTCTTCATGGAGCCTTTCTTGTTTTGCAAAGCTTTAGTCTCACCCATGCTCTTCCTGTGCAATTCCTAACAGAAATCAAGAGATGCTAAGAGTGCGTATGGTAGTGGATGGAGGATTGGATGGAATAAGTCATTTCTACAGATGGAATTGTTAGGAGCCAGTCCAATGTCTTTACTTTTCTAATGGAGAAAATGTAAGCCCAGAGGGATATACTCTTCCTGGCTTGATGTATTTTACTGTGTGGTTGCTGTGTGGTTCAGGGAACGCCCCCTGGGCATGACTGACAAGGAAGAGTTAGATTGGTGAAAACCCGGCAAGCACAGATAAGGTAACACCCAGGGGACTTACTAAGGCCCATAAAAGAAATCAGAGGAACTGCAGTCAGGACTCCAGGAAATCACAATTACAAGGATGGGGCAAGCATCAGCATTTGTTGGCCAGTTGGTCTACACCAGGCATGAATCTCTAATCTACTTGGCCCTGTGGAAGGTATTGTTCCAGACAAAGGTGATTGGGAAGTCTTTGCCTTCTGGGACACTCAGTCGCCAGTGGTGGTAACTCACCGGCCATGGGCTGTGTGACAGAAGCTACCTAACAGCCTGCAGACCAGGAAGTGGCAACCGCGGAGGTCTCAGCTTCTTAACACAGCCCACTTTCATTTACCAAGAAAGTAAGGTGCCAAACGATCTGATGTCTTCTACCTGTGAAAAGACAGTGAGTTGCCCACCACATCCGGGAGTACCAGCGTCTATAAACCTCCCTCCCACGGGGTAGATGATGACTACCACCGCCCACCAAGATTCCTACAGATGGACTCACAGCATGCGCAGACTAGGCCTTGGAGTCTCTGGAGTCTCTCTTTCCAGAGTGCTCGTGCTGATTGTCCATCCAACGCTCTGAGCCAAACAGCAGGCTTACTGTGTTGACAAGCTGGTACAGCAAACTCCGTTGCCCACACCCAGAGGTACTGATGTGAGTCAGGCGGTCCAGATGCCATCCATCTTTAGCCAGGGCCATCCCCTGGTGTTTGCTCATTTCTCAACAAAAGCAGACTTTGAGTTAAGGAGGGCTGTCATCCTTAAAACTTACTACGTTATCCCGAGTTTAAAGACAAGGAATCCAGAGGACGTTCCGCACCCAAAGATGGTGGCTGAGAAGTTGCACCCATTCTAATCCACTCTGGTCAGCTGGACCCCTCCCGTGACATTATTAAGCATGATAAAGGCTCTTAACTGCTGCAGGCTGGCTGGATGACAAGCACAGTGCTTGGCACTTCCCACGCTGCTCCATGTCATCCCCACAGCGACACTGTGAGATTGTCCTTACATTTACAGGTGAGGGTTGAAGTGCAATCAGTAAGGAAACACATTCAAGCCAGGATCGCATGGTTCCTAAGTACAAGAGCTGGCATTCGGAGTTCCCTGTCTGTCTCTCTAAGTTCTTAACCATTCCACTCCTGGGCTGAGCAAAATAAGACATGTCCGGTCGTTAAACGCTGGCTCTTCTGGGTCCTGTCCTAGGAAAAAAAAAAACAACTCTCTAAGTAGAAAAAGAGCATAGAGACTCCACTGTCTGGTCATAAAAGTTTTTCAGAGTCTTGGCCTTGACAGTTTGGGGATTAGGTTTGGATCGGTTTCCGGGAGAGGAACAGGTTCAGGCAGTCTGATTGAGGATGACTCAGTCCACAAGGGACGGAGCCAAACCCAATTAATTGATTCACCTGGGAGACAATACTGCCCAGGGAGACTGTGGCCAAGAACGCTGGCTTTGGAGTAGGAGGCAACTGGGTTTGACATTCTCGTCATCACTTCCTGGCCCTGTGAGTCCAGACATCCCATTCACTCTTTGCCTGCTATTGCCAGACACTGAAGATGGGGTGAGAAATGGCGCCTTGTGGGGTGACGGTGCCTTAAGTAGAATGTGGTGCACAAGATGGCTGGCGGGGGTGGTTGGTGTTTAGTAGAAGCTAAATACAGGGCCATACTTACAACCTTCATTGTGAATTTTGTTTGGTTTGGAAACTAGATTTGGCCATTGGATAAAATCTCTTCTGGCCAGTGAGTTGGTCCTACTCCCCCACCACCACCACCAAAAAAAAAAAAAAAAAAAAAAAAAAAAGAAAAAAATCTCGTCAGATGGGTACTTGGAGAACTCCACTCAGTGGAGGCCACTTTGCCCTCAGCCTCTCATAGATGCCCTAGCAGCTCCCACCCCTTGTCCTGTCTTCCAAAAGCATTTTTCTTCAAATGTCTAATGCTGCTTCAAGACTCAGAGCTACTCAGAGTAGCACTGACCAGTCCTGACCTATACCACCTCTCCCTCTAGCTCCCAGGGGTGTCCTCTCTGTGAAGCCCTGATCACACACACCTTTGTCTGTGGGTCTATCCCAGCTGACCATGGAGTGACCACATGATGACCAGGCATAAATACATGTCAGGTACAGAGTCACAGCCGTGAGAAACACTGCTGATTTCTCTTTCTGAGCTTTACGTCTAATGGGGCAAGAAAAGGGCAAGGGAACAAACCCAATCATTACAGCTTCTGCCAATTGTGTGGGTGTGGGTGTGGGGGTTGATAGCATGATGTGATAGGGAACCCAGGAGGGGAAAGGGACTAGAAAAGGCCTCTGCGTGGAGGTAGCATTTAGCCTGAGGCTTGAAGGACAAGGGGGAGCCAGCCCTGCCAAGATCTGGGAACAGAGGGTTCCTGACGTACAGAACAGCTTTTCCCTTCAGAGCAGGGAAAGAACTTGATGTGTTTCTCATGATCCGACCAGGATGGAACAGATGGTGGAAGAGTGGAGGAGGAAGAACCCTGGCAATCGGAGGCCACTTCCCTCCTCTGTGCGCTGTGCACCCAGCTGGATGCTGGATGTCGAGTCAGACTCCCTGACATTTATTGAACACCTACTCTGTGCTGAGCACCGTGCTGGCGCATCCCTCCTGCTTTCTCATTAAAGCCTCCATCTCCCAGCCTCCCCTCCCTGTGCACAAATGTCCTGGGGTATCCCCTTGTCCTCCAGTGTCTTGTCCTCGGTTCTCTGTGGGATTTTGTCTTCTCCGCCCAGCCTCCTCCCTGACTGGCCCATTAGCTTCACTCTCAGGCTTCTTGGGATCTCGGTACATCGAATGAAAAAAGTGTTGTCAGGTTTGCAAAGTTTCTGACAGTTAGGCCCCTTCCCTTTTTCTTGGGCACCTGTAGCTGCAGGAGATGATAATAAGAGAAATGGATGCTTTTCAGATCAAGTTTGTAGAAGCACGGTAGGTGCCTTGTTGCCACGGCTGATTTGATAACAACCCTGATGAGTGTGTTTTAGGCACAAGTTCTTGGTACCTACATACAGTGGCCTATCACACACTTTATGTGTTAATATCTACGATAGGGAGTGAGAATTTTAGACTGGCCTCCAGTGGAGCAAGGTGCTCTGGACAAGCCATGGAGACTACACTGCCTAGAGCAAGAATGAGTCCATCTGTTCTATACTTCACCATTAGGAACTCACCGTGACCTCTACAGACCGTGTGGTAAAAATCCTAGCATATAGAAAGATGGATTCTGCATCCTGGGCTGTTTAGCTAAAGAACTTTAAGGCTGATTGTATACAAACTGAAGTATCAGAAATAGACTTATGGGAAGAAGGTGAACTTTGAACTTTGGTGTGTAAGTAATAGAAGAGGTTTTCATCTTTAATTTTTTTCTTTTATTTTTAGCACATGATTATAAAGAATGCTGTTTTTAAAGGGCCATTGGAAAGAAGGTGAAGGGGGGAAAATACTGACAAAGGGCTTGTAGTGATAAGCAGGGAATGTGACCAGCAGAAGGCTTTTGGAGATGGGTGTGGGAGATTACCGCCTGATGTTAGGGGCCTAGAGCAGTTGCTTCATTCACGACGTGAGCAAGCCCTGGGGCTAGGACCAAGTCCAGAAACTGAGTGAGGTATGTGGGGCTGAGGACGCAAAACAGGACTGTTAATATAGAGATGATATCAAAATTTAGCCAGCAACCCAGGAGGCCACTGAGATGTCACATGACATGGAAAAATACTGGCCTTGGGTTGGAATCAGATTCTAGTCTAATCTCTGCCATTGATTAGCTGTGTAATTTGGATCACTGTTTCTGAACCTGTTTCCTCAATTGCGCAATGGGGGTTACAACTTCTAAACCTCAAGCTGTACTGTGTAATAGATGCAGCTAAGAAGCCAGACCTGTCTCCAGGCATCCCTTGTACTCGGCTTTCCGCCCTGCCTGCACATTGTTATCTTCCGACAGCACATGACCTTAGGCAAAGGACAAACTTTCAATTTTACAGTTCCTAAAGGACTTTGTTCGAAGAGGCTTCAGGCTATAGGACACCCAAAGAAGCATTGCTCTAAGGGAAAATCGTTATCTTAAATCAACATCTCTTAAATAATATGGCCATGTGGAATTCTTACAAATATCTCACAGGGACATTGGTGTACCTTGCTACTTTAGTTTGATTCTCTAGGAAGAAAAAAAAATGTTTATTACTTAAAGCAATGAAGAGGTGGTTGTGTTATTATGGTCACTGGAAAAGGGGCATCTGGATTTCTCCCACCATTTCCAACTTAGCATTTCCTCCAAAGCCAACTCTAGAGTTTCCTTTGAACATGTTAACAGAAGGTCTGCTGCCCAGGAGGGTAGAAGAGGCCACCTGACCATTTTTCCAGTCCTGCTTCAGTGGCATCAGTGCCCCTGTGAGGGAACTTCAAGCTGAGGATGAGGAACTCATGGTGACTAAGGAGCTGGACTTGCCAGGTTGGTCCAGAACCTTCTATACCCACGACCTGCATCTGCAGACGACTGAGCCAGCAATGCTCAGGGAGTCAGGATGGGGGTGTGCTAAAGCAGATGTTTTCTTTCTCCCCAAATCACCCAATTAAAGTGCAGAGATCAGAAATGGATCAAATTTGCAAACTGTGTTACAGCGCATTCTCATTGCTGTGACAAAATCCTGCAAACTGGGTGACTTATAAACAAGAGAAGTTGATTTCTCAATGTTCCGGAGGCTGGGATGTCTGCCATCAAGTTGCCAACAGATTTGGTGAAGGAGGGATTTTTGGTCCATAAATGCTGGATTCTTGCTGTGCTCACATGATATGGGGGGAGGGGAGAAGATCTCTGGAGATTTCTTTTATAAGGACTTTAATTCCATTCCCTAGGCCCCCACCTCACCATCCAGTCACCTGTCAATAGGCCAGCTCCTCATATGATCACAATGGAAGTGGAGTTTCCACAAACTGGGAAAGGAAGCCATGTCTGAAATTCAAGGCATAACAAAATGCCACCTTTGTGTTAACAGGGAAGATAAAACATAGACATAAGATGTAGAAGAAGAGAGAGTTCTAGTTCAGGTAAGCTAAAAGAAACTCCCTTGGGGTAACTGTTATCTCTTTGAGTGAAGTATGATCCCACCCTCAGGTGTAAAAGGTGCCAGAGCCCGATGTTAACCATGATGGGAGGTGTCTACAGGTCTACAAGGACCAGGGCTCCGTGTTAACTGTGATGGGGGTGTCTACAGGTCTACAAGGACCAGGGCTCCGTATTAACTGTGATGGGGGTGTCTACAGGTCTACAGGGCACCAGGCTCGGTGTTAACTGTGATGGGGGTGTCTACAGGTCTACAGGGCACCAGGGCTCCGTGTTAACTGTGATGGAGGTGTCTACAGGTCTACAAGGACCAGGGCTCCATATTAATTGTGATGGGAGGTGTCTACAGGTCTACAGGGCACCAGGCTCCGTGTTAACTGTGATGGGGGTGTCTACAGGTCTACAGGGCACCAGGGCTCCGTGTTAACTGTGATGGAGGTGTCTACAGGTCTACAAGGACCAGGGCTCCATATTAACTGTGATGGGAGGTGTCTACAGGTCTACAGGGCACCAGGCTCCATGTTAACTGTGATGGGGGTGTCTACAGGTCTACAGGGCACCAGGCTCTGTGTTAGCTGTGATGGGGGTGTCTATGGGTCTACAGGGCACCAGAACCCCGTGTTAACCACTATGGGAGGTATCTACAGGTCTACAAGGCTCCATGTTCACTGCAAGGAGATATCTTAGCCTGGTTCTCACAGAAGTGGACCCAACACAGGCTTGTAGTTTCTGTGAAGATCTCAGGAAAGAGGAGTGATGAGCAGAAAGAATAAGAGAGTTTTTGTTCAAAGAAAAAGGAAAAAAGAAAACATAAAGAAGAAAATATAATTTTGTAGTAAACTACTGATCTGGTCTCAAGGGAAAGGGCATGGAAACTCTACCATGTCTCTGACAAGCCATGCAGATGCTCAGCCTAGAGGTCACATTAGGAGATATCTGAAAAGCCGGATGGTGGTATGGGTTTTCTCAGTCATGAGGAAGAGAAGACACATTCCTATAAAGAAAGCCTGGGGCAGAAACCAGGGAGCTGAAAGCGGGTACAACAGACACCAGGACTAGCACTGGAGTGGAAATGTGGACTGAGAGGTGAAGGAGAGAGGAGGACCTGGAGCAGGTAGAGAAGTCGGC